TAATTTTTAAAAAAGCAAACTAAAGAGAACACGGTCCCGTGTTTTTTTTTCTCTTCTTCTTTATCTTTGTAAGATATCCCTCGAAGTACGGATCCCTCAAACTTCTGAGGCCGGTCCCGATGAATTCGAGCTATCCCTGTTATATTGGAAATGATATAATGTTACAAATGAGGGGGGTTGGGGTAAATTGTATATATATATATATATATTATATAAATCAAAAGATTTTGTTAAAAACTTAACAACCCCCAAACAACAACAACAAAGAGTTCCTCTACTACCGTACCTTTCCTGCTCTCTTCAGTTTGCTCTCCTGTTTCTTGAGGAGTTTGTTCACCGTCTCATTCTGGGGGGGAAAAAGAAAATGCAAAACTGGTAGAAAAAAATCTTAACTCCTTCATCCCTAGACGCTCTCTCCAGAGATTTTTACAACTTTTTGTTTGAAAAATTGAAAAATCAACCCTAAATTCCAAAATATCCAACCCAAAATTTGGTTCTCATTTTATTCAAATCTTTATTTGTGTGTACTGAAAAATTGAAGGCAAAAGATGGTAAGTTTTGATGCAATACTCCGTGCAAAAAGGTTTATGTACTACACAGTCAAAAAAGGACAAACAAAAAGCGAAGAAAGGAAGTGTGTTCAAATTTGGCCCCCACCTCACATGGTTCACGAATATAGCTTTCTTCGTTCTAAATTTGGGCTTGCACTTCTGGTCATAGTCTGTTCCAAACGAAAAATGGTTACTCTTCAAATTAGGCTATAGTCTGCTTCACACAAAAGTAGTGTTTTCTTTCACGAGAGCGAAATTTTCCATACCGGTACTGTTGTCACGGTAGTCACAGATTCACACCTTACTCTTTTTTTATCGAACAGGGTACCCAACTAGTATATTATTTTATTTGAATTCAATTCGTAAGTTGTGGTAATTAAGGATCCGAACATTACCGTCATTATTACTATAACCTGTAAATGACAAAGTTTGTCCAGCGACTCACCTTGTCGTTTTCAATCTTTTCGTTGGCCTGCTGTCTCCTCCGTTTGGCCTTTTCCTGCCGTCGTCTTTTCTGCTCATCAGTCAGCTCCACGGTCTTGTAGCCCGAGGGGAGCTGCAACAACTCATCCTGCTGGCTGCCGTGAAGGAGAGCTCTCTGCAACATACAAAACAACATCAGATCAATGAGAAAAAAAAAAGGAGTGGAAATAAAGTTATGTAGTGCCTCTCCTACCAGCTCGCACCCCTTCTATCTCATCCAAACATCTCCATGGACACAAAGAGACAGCTTATCACCTCAATATCCATACCAACATTACGTTATCAGTGCCAGACCTGGACCTTAAGCAAAGCCCATGAAAGCAAAATCACCGCATGCGAAATTAAATGTCTCCACAAAACCCTTAACATCACAAGACGAGACAGGCAGAGAAATGAAGAAGTATTAGCAGCTATCGGCACTGAGTCCTGCCTGCGTTACATAGAAAGACAGAGGATAAAATGGTTTGGCCACCTGTTACGCATGTCACCTGACCAGCCAGCCTTGAGAGCCTACAACACCAAGCACTCAGGCTATAAAGGAAGAGGAAGGCCACGCAAAAGGTGGATCGAGGGTGTCAAGGAAACCCTAAGAAAACAACATCACAACTGAAAGAGCTGCGGAGCTGGCCTACCATAGAAAACTGCATCTCCCCTCGACGCTTAATGGCAACAGAGGATGAAAAAGTAAAAAAGTAAGAAAAAGTAAAGTAGTGACTCACTCTCCGAACACTCAATTAACTCACAACACAGCAGCTGACATGACCATGACTTCGCACGGACCGGCAAAGTGCTCACATGAAAAACACCGCCTGACCCGACTGTCCTACACGGCCAGTCGAGTAGAAAACTCCGGTGAGTAAAGACCTACCAACATTAACTCTTTAAACCCTGAATTTTTTCCACCATTTCCCAGAGTTTTTTTTTTTTTTGGTCACCTAAACCTGGTGCTCTATGTCTCGTTATAACCCCAAAAGCTTGCCCCCAACTTCTAAATAACCGAAACAAAGACTTAGTCATTACTAAAAAGCTTTGTTCGGAAATAGTTCCGAAAAACAAGCAAAAACTAGCACTAAATGAAACAAATCAGTTGTCACTACTATCGGACCCTCCCAGCATCCCACCCGATAGTGAACAGGGTTATTACCGTCGGACACTCGAGCGTCCATTGGGGTTTAAAGAGATAAGGAGTAACAGCAGAACTTATAAGCCAAGCCACCCCCCCCAAATTCATGTCCTTGAGCAGAGCAGGCGGGATGTTTCTGATTCAACTGTGGCCAATCCAGTCGAAGCTGAGTTTTTTAATAGTTTTAGTAGAGGTTTTACCACGCTCGCAACATCATAAGGTCATATGAGCGCCAGAAGATTAGAGGTGTTACAAGAGAGTAACAAACATTTTTTTTAAAAAGGATGGGAGATAAGGACGATAGATCATGTTTGATAGGAAAGAAGAAGCAAATCAAACCAGAGCACCCGCCAACCACACACACAAAAGACATCAGACAGATGAGAAGAAAAAAACAGTGGAAATAAAGTCAACGCGTAACATATTATATGACCGTATTGTTTTGCAAGTGCCGTAAAACTCTTACTAAAACAATAGAACAATGATGAAAGAGATCTCTACTCCTAGAACGACGAGGAGCCCAAACTACCAGTAACGACATCTCACCTGTCTGGTGGTGAGTAACGCTGGATCCTTTTTGCTCAGCTCTCCGTAGCTATCCAGAGTCCCTTTCTCCAACGCATCCAGCCACTTCTCCTCGTCAGAAATGTCATCATCGTCGTTTGTGCCCTTTTTAGGAAGTTTCTCTGGGGGGAAAAAATAATTCGCGAATAAGCAATATTAGTTTAGTTTTAGTAAGAGTTCTACGGCACTTGCAACAGAATAAGGTTGTATAAGAGCCGAAGATAAGAGGTGTTACATACAAGAGAGTAACAAACATAAAAAAGAAGGAGGAGAGATCAGGACGATAGAGGTTTGATAGGAAAGAAAGAGCAAACCACACCAGAGCACCCGCCAACCACCCACTAGGAAACTGTATGACAGAAGAAAGCGGAACGCTTTGCCAGCTCATCTACGGGAGTCTACCACTTTAACAAAATTCAAATCAGCACTTAAAACACATTTGCTTCAGTTCAGCTTCAATCTGTAATTTCCAACATTCCTAAAACAATTTATACTATTATGTTCTCTCAGTATCGTTTATTCATGCTGTTCTGTTCTGCGGCTAATATTGAAAATTGAACTAAAAAATCTGTCATTCGTTCGATGGTGGTAGGCAGAATCAGAAAGTAGGTCAGCAGGTCACAGATAGGGCCAGGTCCCGGTGAGGACCCCCCCCCCTCCCCGCGGTAGCTGGTAGTGAAAGAGTTAAGCTGCAGACTACCCCCCCTCCCCCAGTAGTGAAAGAGTTAAGCTGCAGACTACCCCCCCCCCCCCCCTCGGGGGGGATTTTTTTACAGTAACAAATTTAATTTTAAAAAAAGAAAACTAAGGGGCCCGCTCCCTCTTTTTTTATATGATTATTCTTTTTCTATGTCAACCTCCCCCCCCCCCGTTCGGAATACATATAGATTGTGACTCCGGTCCCCACCCATTCGAATAACCATGTTTTATCAAAATCCTTCTATCCCCCCCACGGAGGGGGGGTGGGTAAATAGACCATTCTCCCGCCTCCTCTGGCAAAAGGAAAGATTTTGAAGACGCTCCCCCCCTCCCCCAAGTAGAGAAAGAGTTTACCCGCCAGCTACCCTCCCCCCCTCTGAAGTGTTTGATTTGCGGTCCCCCCCCCCCCCCCTCCCCCGTTAGGGAATGAGGGAGCTGCAGACTCCCCCCCTCCCCTAGAGAAAGAGTTAAGCTGCACACCCCCCCTCCCCTCAGAGACCCAGGCTTACCTCCTCCTTGTGGTGGGTGGACCTCATCATCCGGGGGTGCCTGGATGATCGACATTACACTGGGGGGGGGGGGGGGAGAAAACAAACACAATCCTGAAACTTCTACTATATAAACTTAGACTTGCACACACACACAGAAGAAAAAAATCATCTCCACACTTCTAGACTATTTTAAAAGAAATCAAACACAAAATCCTGAAACTTCTAGGTCAACCTGACTTGCACACACACACAAGAAAAAAATCATAGAATTTACTCTCATCACCTTTCTGGTTACATAATTTGTCATCAATTTTGTGTTTTCAATCCATCACCATCTTTTCCCCACCTGCCTTTCCTTTTCCCTCTTTAGCAGTAACACTTCCTCTGTGGTGACAAGTCAAATGATATCCGGCCACCCAAAATCCGTTACAAACACATCCAATGATAAAGAAAAGACAGTTTAGTTTAAGAAGAGGTTTTACGGCGCTCGCAACTGTATCAGGTCATATGAGCGCCCGAAGATTAGAGGTGTCACAAGAGAGTAACAAACATAAAAAAGAAGAAGGGGAGATAAGGACGATAGATGTTTGACAGGAAAGAAGAAGCAAACCACACTAGAGCATCCACCAACCACCCACTTAGAACATCTCGAGTCGCCTTCTACTCACTTCGAAAAACAGCTTGACTATCAATGACTTATTTATAGAGGCACCAGCCATCCATGTCCAGGTGCTGTTTCATCCAAAAAACAGCTCTATACACAAAGAGCGACACTTACTTTTTCGTGCCCATAGTTTCCCGTCCTATTTTCAGCTTGAGCTTGATCGATGTCTTCGGGGAAACAATCCCGCGGTCCCCATGGTCCGACTCCCTGCGATGCTTGTGTTTCTTCTTGTGTTTTTTGTGCTTCTTTGACGGTCCGGCTGGGGGAGAGCAAGTGTATCAGTATTTAAAATTTTTTTTTTGGTAAGCGTTTTATGGCGCTCGCAACTACATAACACCTTACCCTCTAGACCACGAGAGCCCCCTGTGTATCAGTATAAAAAAAAATTTTTTGGGTAAGCATTTTATGGCGCTAGCAACTGCATAACACCTTACCCTCAAGACCACGAGAGCTCCCTGTGTATCAGTATCTCATTGCTTTTCAAGAGAAATCGATAAATGTGATGAACACCTGTCAAACATAAATAGATCTATATCATGAACCCATTTCTGTCAGATAGATATTATGAGCACTCATTGCAAAGTATGCAATAAGTTTCTTTTCACCAATGTCATCTATAGTGGACAGCATCTGCACAACATTCTTTCTAACCCATCCTGAAACTTGACCCTGTTTTAACAAACAAGCTGTACGCTCCTTTCACTACCAACGAAGCGATGGGGATTATTGATTCAGGAGACTACAATGCTCCTGGCAATGTCACTATTCTTATAGATAATATCACTTTGTATTACTTGTTTGAAACCATTCTAATTGACTATTATCAATTCTGAGATCCATGTGCTTAGCTCATTAAAAAAAGTTTTTTTCCACGTTTAGATATGTAATTATTTTTTTTCACAGAAAACATAATTTCATCGAAGTTTTTGTATAAATTAATACATTTTATGTAAGTATACATGATGATCTTACTTTGTGTCAAATTTTATACCTGTACAGTT